TCCTGCTGGAGATCTTTTTTTTTCTTATGACAAGCTCTCTTCTGAGTAGTTGACAAGGTCTGACCTGCCTTACATGTAAGATCTAAGATTAGTCTTTAAGAGCTATTACTCTGTAGAGTGCTTTCTTTCAGGAAATACCATTTATGTCTCGGAACATTTACATGGGTAGTTGTAGAGCAAAACAAGAGCATTCACCCTTTGCCAATTTGGCCAGTGTTGGAATAGAAAACCAGCAAATTGTCAATGTTCCAAATATTTTCAACCAATCAACTAGGACACGTAGTCTTAATATTTCAATATCACTAGTAGAACTACAGGACAGATACAGCACTAATCACAAAAGTAGAAACTGCTTGCATACCTTTGCGTGTTCCATGGTTGTACTGTGAATCTGCCTTCAGCCTATGGGCCAAATCCCTTTCTGGCATAACTCCACTGGAATAAATGAAGATACAACAGGGAGAAATTTGCCCCCCCCCCCCCCCATGCTTAACAGTAATGCAGCACTCCAGTAATCTCAGTTTTTGGTTCTAACTACCACTAATACAGATTTAATTAAAAATCAAGTACCTACTGGAATGCACACACAGATTAATTTTTCTGTGGCTTTTCCCCAGAATGAATGCCGCATGTTTCGTGTTCAGTTTGATGGAGATTCAAAAGAGCAGGCAGTGGAGCACTGCTGTAATTGTGTGCAGAAACTTGCAGAGTATGTCACAGTTCAGGTAACAGATGAGCAAAGCCAGGAGCTGCAAGGTCAAAGTCAGTTGCCCGACAGTGAAAGTCAAATGCAACAACATGCATCGATACCTCCTGGAGTAAGTGGAGCTGGGGAGGAGCCAAGAGAGGAAAATAAAGACTAACAGTTACTCACTTCTAGGTCCACAGCTTAATATGCATTCTCATAAAGATACGGTCCTTTTGTAATGGGTGGGGATAAGCAAAAGAGATCATATTATGTTAAGCCGTCCACTGTTTAAATCAATCCACACCTTTCAGGAAGGAGCTGCTAGGAACTGTTCAAGTATGATGTCAAATTGTAATTGACAGAGGACCTAAATGCTGAATTTGTTTTTATCATTGGAAGAACTAATTTTAGGAAGGGAAAGAAATGATTAACAGCAAAATAAGGAATAACTTGGATGATTTCACGCATCTGTGCATAGAGTAGAAGCTGTATCATTCAGATCTGGGTGCTCACAATCTCCTTAGTTCCCACATTAGAGGAGCCACTCAGCTCTTTGCTGGAGTTTACAAACCCTTTCTCCAATTAACTGGTGCACCATAGCTGATCAGAGCAGCAGCTTTGTATACCCCCAGCCAGCCTCTAACCCCTCATCTGCATTTGGGGGAAGGGACGGGTGGCAATAAAGAACCTAATCACTCAATAAGGAACCCAATATCTGGATTCTACATAGGAAGTTTTAAGTTTATTCGCTCAACTCATCTGTTAAGAACAGATGCAAGTCATATTAGAGTCTGATATGTAACGTGAAAGCAAATATTTAACCTTTAAAAAAAATCAGCTCTTACACACATGCAGTGCTCAGGGTAATTTTTTGCTTTGGAGGCAAAACATGACTCCTGTGAATAGGTCTGTGCGCACCCTAATTCCATGGTTGTTGAATTTGCCATAGGATTTTGCATCTTTACAAGGGGGAGAATTCAGTATTTTTGTGGCAAAATGTGCTATTTTACTTCAGCCAGGTGCTCAGCAATTTGCTCAGTATTTTTTTCTTACCATCTTGTGAGACTGTATCATCTTCAGCTTTTCCTACCAAGGGGAAATGAATTCTGGGTTCTTGGAACCAGAGTGTAGAGCAGGGGCGGGCAATTATTTTGGGCAGAGGGCCGCTTACCCAGTTTTGGCACGCTGTCGAGGGCCGCATGGGTAGCCCCACCCCATAACAGGTGCCCCGCCCCCTGGTCACCATTTTGGGACCAACATCCCAATGTCTTGGGACCAATGTCCCAGGGCCAGCACTGGTGGGGCCCAGACCAGGGCACAGGCCGGCAGGGGTCCATGGAGCTGGGCTGGGCTGCACCAGCCGGGAGGGGGGGGCCAGCTCCATAGAGCCCCTGCTGGCTGGGACCCCGCACTCCTGCCACCCAGCTCTGGGCCCCACTGGCACTGGCTCTGGGACACTGGTGCAGGCCCTGTGCCCCTGCTGGCTGCCCGCCCACTCACACCCAGTGCCCCCCCCACCCTGCGTTACAGGCCGGGGGCAACGCTCAGCCCCGACCCCCTGCTCGCCAGCAGGGAAGAAGCTGGTGCTGAGTGTGGGGAAGAGCAGCCCCTCGCGCACCCCATGGCCAGCGCTCCCTGCTGCAGCCACTCCCAGCCCAGGTGGGGCTGCCTGGAGCAGGCACAGGCAGCCCCAAGCAGGCTGTGAGCAGCTGCAGCATAGGGCGCCGGGCATTGGGCCACTTTTCCCCACGCTCAGCACTAGCTTGTAACCCGCCACACTGCCAGCCTGGCAGGGAAGGAGCCTGGGGAAAAGCTGAGCATGGAGGGGAAGTGACCCCTACCATGCCCAGTGCCCCACGCTGCAGACTCTCACAGCCTGTGTGGGGCTGTCTGGAGTGGGCACAGGCAGCCCCATGCGGGCTGCGAGCAGTTGCAGTGTGGGGCACCAGGCGTGGGAGGGGCCGCTTCCCCCCCACGCTTCTTCCCTGCCCCCCACCCCCACTTACCTGAGCTTTCCACACAGGGGCAGCCATGTGCTCCCAGCCCAGAAACCCGGCCCCACTTCCAGCTGGGGGGTGGAGGGGAAGAGGCAGGCCCGCTGTTGAGAGAGCCTGCCATGTTTCCCCTGGGTCCTACTGCCCTTGGTTCCTGTCATTTTTTATAGGAACCAAAGGCAGAGAAATATTAATTTTCTACATTTTTTTAGGGGCCCTGCGGGTCAGATAGAATGGCCTCCAGCCCGCGGGCCGTATTTTGCCCACCCCTGCTGTAGAGGGTTGGGAATGGGAAGCTGGAACTCCACTTGGAGCAACAGAGCGAGAAAGTGTAGGCTGGAGAACAGTGCAGCAGTTGAGAAAACCAGGAAATGAAGGTGGCTCACACGGAAGAAAGGAGGTTCCTAGGCAGCTTGGACAGTATCAAGCCAACTCCCAGAGGTCTGGGCAGTGGTTAGTTAAGCGATCTGGAGAACACAGATTAAAAAGTAGCCACTTTGGATTTATTTTCACTAGAAGTATTTTTGGTTGTAGGCTGTTGTAAGCATTCTTTGACAACCACAAGAAAGCTTGTCACCAACATTAATTTCACTGTGTCCTCGTACAAGCCCAATTTCACCTTCCTGGCTGCAGTGCCCAGTATTCCCCAAGTGGAAAATGCAGATTCACTTCTTTTGTATCTATGATGGTAGAGGAGAGCTCCAGCAGTTCACCTCCCAGGCAGCCTGACTCATTTAGGCCAATACCAAAAAAGTGGAAACAGGCTAGGGAGGTGAAAGCAGGGCATGATAATATTGCAGTGAAGTTTTGCCATTCTAGCCACAGAATAGCGTCACTGCAGTGCAGAATGCATGCCTATCATCACAATTGTAGTAAGACTGTGGTTTATGTTGTTCCTCATGTATTGTACACAAGTTGTAGGCTTACTTTTACATTGTAAATGCACAATTTTTAGCTTTTGTTTCGTTGTTTCAACACTGTTAATTATGGTGGATTCAGTTATAAGCATGTAGATACAGAAAGAAAAAAATTGTAGTGACTGGGCTAGCCACACAGGGCAGCTTCTCTTTTCTTTTGTATATCCCTGGATCTTCCAGCTAGACTGCACTGATCTTTATACATTTATATTCTGATACTTTTCAGCCAAGTTGGACGCTAGAGGAACCTCCGCTTCAGTTGTACACAAACATCCCAGAAGCAAGAAGATCTGTGGTACAGCTAGCACAGGTATAACAAAACACTACCGCATGACAGCAGTGGAAGATGATTTGTCACAGGCTATGGCGTAACTTCTGCCAGGGATGGGTTGCCAGGAGCACATAACTCCAGTGCTCCAGAGTCTATAATAGTTCCCAGTAACAATTCAGAGGTGCTGGTTTTGATTTATAAGGCCCTAAATGGGCTGGGTCCTACATATGAAATGGACGGTCTTTTCCTTTATTCCCCACAAGGTCAGCCAAGAGCAGCCTCCTGCGAACAGCATCAATGCACCAAGTCTGCTTGGTGAAAATACGTGGGAGGTTGTTCTTAGCACTAGTTCCTCAGCTTTGAAACTCCCTTCCCTCCTGAGGTCCACCACAGCCCAAGCCTGGACATCTTTCAGAAACGCTGTACGACATTCCTATTTGAGCAGGCATTTAACAAACAAAGCTAGGCTGGAATATTGTTCTAGGGGGGAGGTTCTATCTTGGTCCTCTAGTTCCCTTTTTAAGTTGTTCTGTTCTGTTCATTCCCCTGTTTATAACCTATTCTGCCCTCTTATTGAAAGCTGCTCTGGGCTTTTGATGGGAAGGACAGCATATAAAAAGCAAATAAATAACTTGAAATGTTTTTCATATGCGGATATATTACCAGAGTATTCAATTAAATGGGAACTTTCAGTTATCCAGAACGATATAGAAAGATCATAAATTAAAAAGGGGCAAGATCTTTTATGTACTACTGTTCTGTACCTGAGCTTTCATTGCAATTCACTTTGTTGCCTTTCTGGCTGTACAGAAAGCTTGATCAGACGTGAAGTGTGAATCAATAGGGATGCAATTTAGGCAGGGTGTTTAAAATTCAGTCAGTCTGCACAGAAGCTCCAGATGTCAATGATGGACTGTGTGGGCTAGGGTAAAAGCTTAGGAACCCACACTAACCTTAAAGCAAGAGCCCAGCTCCCACTGGTGTCAATAAAAATCTTGACACCAATCCCCCTCCCCACCCCAAAAAAAAAAAAAAATCATAATGGCATTTTACATAGTAACCCAGGTTGTTTGTTCATTCAGGACCTTGCCATTGTTAGCAATCCCCTTCTTTTTCTCTCCTTTGTTTTATTTGACAAAGTCTTCTGCTTTTCGCCTCTTTACTCTGTCAGTGGTCAGTGTTTTGGCAATCAAACTTGACACTGGGCTTTAGAGTTGATATACAAGAGGTAATAAGGGACCTAGGACTTTGCCCCTGTTGGTTACCAATTTGGACAGCCACCACCATGTCAGTTAGGCTGGTCATGTTTGCAAGATCTAGTTCTGAAGCTATGGCTTCCAGAATTTTTCACATTGTTTAGAAAGAATAATTGGTGGCCTGCATGATTCAGCTTGGGCACAGTACCTCACATGAGCTCTCTCACTCCTGAACACTTACCTGCTTACAGTCTCTTCCCAAGCGTTCTCCCATCTTGTGTTGATTTGAATCCTGTGACCCCATTCACTCCTTTAAGTCTCAGAGGGAAATAGCGCACTTATTTTTTGTGCATCAGGCAGCCAGATTTGCCCAATAGCCTTCGAAAAGTTTCCCTGTGACTTGTCACAGTTGGGTCTGGAGTTCTTATCCGAAGACAGGGCCATGGTACTTGGCTTAGGTCAACATTTTCTTGCTAGTGAGACTGTAGCAGTCCACAAAACCCTTCTCACAACAGACATCACTTACACAAGGAAGCCAGCACCTCAATCTCTAGAAATTTTCAGGCAGCTCTTAAATTTTTGCTACTTAATAAGCTCCCTGGTGAAATTGCAGTTTCCTTGCCTTCACATTGCTTCTTAATGGCTATTGCCCTCTCTCAACGCACTGTTTATACAATTGCATTCTTTTCCTTTGGCACTTTGTACCATAGGCCTTGAGAGCATCAAGGCCTTTTCAAAACTGAGACTGTTTTCCACTTCTGTTGCATTTTGGAGATTTATAGTGAGTTTGTTTTTGCCTTGGAGTCCAACTTCAAAGCCCCCTTTTTAGTGCATGCACTTTGAGGTCTGTGTGTAGGTGAGGCGTCATTTCAAAATTATTCTAGACTTTTCAGCTCTTGGGTGGCCCTGACTTCAAGCATCCCTAACTTCAGTTTTACACAGGTGATCAGTAGGGCTGTGCGAAATTTCGACGTAAATTTAGTTTCAAAGTTTTTTGAGCTCAAAGCAGCAAAATCAAAACAAAGAGGGAGGAAGGATTGCTCTGACATTGACTGTGTAGCTGGCCAGTGACAGTGATCCTTTCCTGAGGTCCCTTCCAATCCCAGTGCTCTGGGGGAGGGACAGAGAGCATAAAAAGCATTGTTGAACTGAGCTTTCTCTGTGCCTTCACACTTGCAAGCGACGTGAGTTTTGCTCTAAACAGTTTGAGGTACAGTTTCCCAGAAACCCCTGCACCTATCTCCTTGAAACATGACAGGTTTTGTGGCCTCAGCAGGGGCTACCATCCTGGCTGCTTTCATTCGAATCAGGAAAGAAATGACAAAGTTATAGGCATTTTCATGATTCCCCATTATAGCCTATGGGCGAAACGTTGAAACAGTTCTGACGAAACAAAACGGAACGGTGCTTCGAAACAGTGAAATGAAACACTGTCTCTTCGAAACAGAAGTTGAAACGAAACAGTGCTGTTTTGCACAGCCCTAGTGATCAGGCATTTTTAATGCATTTTTAAAGCTGTTGCTCTCTCTACTTCCTCCTTTCAAGGACTTGAAAGTCTTAACATCTTCACTAAGCATAGATCTGAGTGCCCAGTCTCCTCCACAACTGGATTTTGAATTAGTTAAGTATGACTGGCGTAGATATGAAATTCAAAATACCAAACTTTGGTGGAGTTGTGAAGCAAAGACATGCACTTACCCATTGTCTTTGAGTAGTTCAGAGACTAACATCTGAAAGCAGAGGTGCAACTTTAGCAATTCTCAAAAGCAGGCGACTTTCTCAAAGGGGAGTTTGTTCTGGGTCAGCACAACTCAACCTGTGACTGAGAGGTTTACGATGGTAGTCGAAAGGACAGTCCAGTATGCGAGTGTGGTGATGCAGCACAGACTGCTATGACCCCCTCCTCATGTGCAGCACACCCAGGATGAGGATCTGGCAAGCGTCAACGATAAAGCAGCTGTGTGGCTTCACCACGTTAATGATGCGTAGAGGGGGAAATAAAGTATATGAGAGAAGAGAAGAACCTGCTACCAGCCCTTGTCAAGGGTCTACTTCAAGTGGGGATCGTAAAGCACTCCAGATTCTCCTCATGTTGTGTTTAGCAGCTTTTCTAGGGGCACTTTCCCTA